AAAGGGTGGCGTTGAAAAATTTTCCGCTCCTTAGGGGGGCGGCAGCTTCAAAAAGGTTGAGAATCACTGATCTAGACTAATAGCTAGGGATCCCCATGACCTCCATGAATTGATCCAATCCTTTTTGAAGCCAGCCAAGCTGGTATCCATCACCACATCTCATGGTAGTGAATTTCAAAGTTTAATTACATGTTGCTTAAAAAAAAAATCCTTCTGTCTGTCCTGCTTCTTCCCAGGGTTCAATTTCATCTGGTTCTAGTATTTTGGGAACGGAAAGACAATATTCCAGATGCAATCACACCATTGATTTATATAAGGCATTATGATAGGGACATCTTTATTTTCAATACCGTTTCTTATTATCCCTAACATGCTGTTGGCTTTCTTACAGCAGATACACACTCTGTCAACACCTTCATTGAACTGTTTACCATTGCTCCAAGATTTCTTTCATCATCAGTCACTGCTATCTCTGATCCCATTAGTTTGTATGAGTAGATAGAGTTTTGGGCATCAATGTGCATTGCTTTGCAGTTGCTCCGTCTTCTTTGAAGTGAGAACTGGCTCCCTCACATGTGCTGAGTGTCAATCAGGGAAGGCAGGCAGAAAGGAATGGAAGCTGGAAGTGAAGACCGTTGAAAGAAAGCACTTAATTGTACAAAGCTGCTGCACATTCCATTTACTAATGTCTGAGCCCTTCTCAAATAGAGCATGTACCTTCTGCCCTATGGTACTTTTCTCAACATGACACTCTCCAGATGTGTTGGACTTCCACTCCTGTCAACCATATGAAGGCCATGTTCTTTGAGGATCATGGGAGTAGAAGTTCTGCAGGGAGTTGATTGGGGAATGTTGTTTTACATATGCAGTTATTTGTTCCACTGCTGGAAACATCAAGTTGAAGCAGCTATTAAAACAGAAACAAAACCAAACCAAAACCAAAACCAAAACCAATATTTTTCACATAGAAAAAAGACTTTCTTTCCTGGAGATGGGCAAGATCAACAAGAGAAGTCCCCCCCCCCCTTCTGCTTTGTTAAAATAAATTTGGTGGAAACAACTCTTCTGAAAATAGGATCTTTCAAAGATCGAAAGCCAACCAGAATGTGAAAAATTCCTCACAAGTTATGAATGAACTCGGGGATCACTTAATAAATTGCCTAGTCAGGCAAAAATTATATTTCCTTAAAATGCTATTGACTGCTCCTGCTGTTTCACACAAAAGGAAACATAATTTAGATTATACTGGTGTAGTCTTTCATGACTGGCATCAATGAAGCAGGGATGAGCTTTTGGATTGAATGGTGAGTGATCTGCTTTGCGGTATTCCACCACAACACTTTTGCCTGTGAGCTGCCAAAAAGGACAGCCCAAAGCAGCTCATTCTGCCTTTGAAGATGCCAGCCATAGCTGATGGAGAAACATCAGGATAAAACAAAACAAAACCCTGGACCATGGTCATCCATGCCAAACTCATCACTGCTTCATAATTTAGATTAGATTGAATTGCAACTAGTATTTTGGACTTCCAGGGAAGAAATGGTGAACTGAAGACTACTCTGCTAAAAGCAGAGCCGATGACTGTGGCGGAATGAAGAGCCGGTGAGTAGACCAGCTCTTCGATAATTCTTCTCTGGACAAGGAGAGGACTTGAGATTACCCACAAGTGCTCCATACAGTTGCTCCTCACTAGGAGACCGCAAGACAGTGATCTCTGGTGGATTTAGAGCTCTGGGAGACGCGGAAATAACCATCTTGCTGAAATTGCAGCCAGCACCTTTAAAAAGGACACTGGGTTTGCATACTTCCTTTTCTAATCACTTTTAGGCATTGCTTGTTAACTGCTTTTCAGCTATTAGGAAACTTTGGACCAACAAGTTTTACAGCACTTGTTCAATTCTGTGGCTAGCTGCCAAACTTTTATATTAGTTTATTTTATTAGTATAAAATCCAGAATGTGTATCTTATTTCCAGAATAAAGACACAAACTGTTGAATAAAAGCTATATAAAACCACTGGGACTCAGGTTTTCTCATGTGCATTTATTCCCCTTTATGAATTTTCTCTGGAAAGTCAAAATCTTGAAAGAATGGCGGGAAGATGATGCCTTGACCCACTGTGAATAAAGGACAGCCATTCTACCATTTCAAATCACCTAAAACTAATCCTGGGTAGTAAAGGAAGCAAAAAGAAACTGGCCGTGTACAAGAAATCAGAGTCTATCTCCAAAGGTCACATCTGAAGGTGCCAATGGGCCCAGCTGCTGCAAAGCAGGCTCCAAGTGCACCTTCTGTGTGAACCCTAGAAATGATTAACAGCAATCATGGGATCAAGGAAAGGGGAAGGAACCAGACCAGCAAGCAGAAATATCCCAGTTTCCTTATGAGCCTTTTTAAAAGAATTAAACAGTTTGAAATAACTTCATGAGTTTCTCTGAAAATGAAACTCCTGTGATCGTTTGGGTGAATTAATACCACTTGATAGAATCATGGTATTACTTTTCAGTATTTGCCTGCTTTACATATTCAGCCTTCATGTGTGAAATTAAATATTTCAAAAAGGTAATATCTCCCAACCATCAGCCCAGATGTCCCTGAAAACTTAGATCAGATTTTTTGTTTTGAATTACTGTATTTGAGCTTTATTTATTTATTTATTTTTAATCTGCACTCAGTCGTTACCGACTCTGCAGTGACTGCTTGGACGAGTCCTTTGTAGTTTTCAAGGCAAAGTGTTTCGGAAGTGGTTTGCCAGAGCCTCCTTCCTAGAGCAGAGCCCAGCTGGCGGGTGCAGGAGGCGGGGTTTCCGTTGCTTTGCACCCTTTTCGGGCGAGTGCGGTTGTGCTACCCAGCAACTGCTCCCGACTCCTTTTGCAAAGCGCCGCCAGCATTTTTCCTCCCACCAGAGTGAGAGTCCCCATTTATCTACTCACGTGA